AACAAGCTACTATCACTGTGTGATTTCATTCTGTATCTTTTCGCGCCTAGACTGTTGGTTTTTCAGCATCCATTGTTTAAACAATGTGATGGAACCTTGAAACCAAAAATTGTAGTTACAATATCATTCCAGAATAGTGACGGTGAAAATGCAAGCGATCTGAAACCTGGTAGAGAAGTGGTGTTCGAGCTGAGCTACGATTATGTGGGTTCCCTATTCCATCTCTTCAAGAATTCACTAGCCATTTCTGATGTAATCGAATTTCAGAATAATTTGGATGCTGACGGGAAACCGCAGAAACATTTGGTTCGTGTGACTCCGGGTAACGACCAGCTGCCAAGTGCTAAACTACAGGTATGGGAGTTTGCAAAAGGGGCGGCTTTCGCTTCTTAGCTAGAAGACATACTTTTCAGAACAATGTGCATAAAGAGAGAGATTACTTTGTCGGCACGGAAGTTGAGGGTGAGGCGCCAATTGACCAAAGCGAGGTGAGTGACCGATTGATTGCAACTTTTTCAGCACTTTAGATCTCAGATGTTTCAGAATAGCGAGGTGTACTTCGAGAATGCAGATCGCGCTGATGCTGGCTCAGCTGATGAATCAGCCGTCATACTTGGCGATGTTTTCTTCATCGATTCTGATGGAAATGAGATTATTCAACGAAACACAGCACTTCCGGATGGCACCATCGAAACACAGTACCTCGGACAGGTAGCTCGGGAATTGCTGTTATTTTCATCGCTTACATATTTTTTTTACATTTACCTAATGGTATGAAGATCAGGAGATCAGTCCGAACAAGCTATACACACTGCATTTCCGAATGCCTTGACCAATTTTTAGGTGAATGAACCGAAACTCAGGGTAGAATGGTACCACTCAACAAGTAATCTGACTGCTGATTTGACTGGGAATATTGTCTTTACGACGTTAGTGATAGCAGTGAGGATAGAGTTTTCAAAGTTGATTCCTTTTAGGCATGCGGCACACATCCCACTTTCACTTTCAGAATCGTAGTTGCTGATTGAATAGCACATTTCCTACACAACGACCGCGAATCTGGTACTAAACTGCGAATTCCCGGGCTCTGAAGGGTAGGAAATCCACTTGACATGGACGGGAGCCGATCAGGGACATAAGCGCCGGATGGCGCTGACAAGCGGGTCACTTGCTACCATACACCTTCTTTTCAACAATAGCAGTAGTTCATGGAAATTTGATTCGTTTATTGAAACTAGGCATGAGAGAGATGCCGTCACCTGAACTTCTTATCTGATCGGGCGACTGAGATCCGTGCAGACTGAACTAACGTATGCTCTACCCAAATGATAGTGGTTCAGACTGGTACATTACACGATGAAACCTCGCCCAATATTTAGAAAACATGATTATAGATGAAAATGGTGGATAGTAGTTGTGGGTTCATCGTGTGAAGTACCAATCTGAGCTGCTATCATTTGGGTAGAGCATACAGTAGCTCAGCCTGCACTGATCTCACTCGTCTGATCAGGTAAGAAGTTTGAATGATGGCATCTGCCATTCCTAAATTCCATGAACGAAACAAGTTTTGATGAACTTTTGCTGTTGAGGCGGAGGTGGTGTGGTGACAAAAGGTCTGCTTACCACGCGCACCGTCCGGCGCTCAAATCCCTGGTTTGCTCCCGTCTGTGTCATGTGGATTTCCTACCCTTCAGGGCCGGGGAATCTACAGCTTGGTATCATATTCGTGGTCGTTGTGTAGGATGTCCTATTCAGTCAGCGATTACGATTCTGAATGGAAGTAGGATGTGTGCCGCATGCCGAAAAGGAATCAACTTTGGAAGATCTATCCCTTTCATTACTACCATTAATGTCGTGAAGGCAATGTCCACGATCAAATCAGCTGCTAGTTGAGTGGTATTGTTCTGTGCTGGGTTCTGTTTCATTCACTAAAGTTGGTCAAGGAATTCGAAAGGTTTTTACACGAGCATTGTGAATGCGGTGTAGGTAGCTTGTTCAGGCTTATTCTTCTGAGCTTATATCATTACTACGAGATCTCCTGGTCCTCATACCGTTCAAATGCGTGAGGTTTATGTAATAGGTGCGATCTGAGAGGTGACGAGCCTTTAAGGTATAAATTTGGGATATAAATCGATGTTAGAGATGATTTGTGACCCAAAAAACCAGGCAGATCTGGACGCTGTTCGTTCTAGGTGGTGCGGGGGGG